TCCAATCATGGTATTAAGATGAAGAAAGCTCTGTCATATGTAAGCAGAGAGCGTTACACAGCAGGTAAATGAGTAGGGAAAAGACCCATATGCAGAAATCAATGTGTTTCCATCCTAAATCAATATTCCTTTATGTTCCCAAGCAGCAGTACTTACCCACAAACAGGCTATTTGCAATAACCAATTATAATCTTTAGGTAGCTAGCATATGGCATGCTGATGTACCAAAATTATAAAACTTACCTAGAAAAAGCATTCAGAATTAGGCAGATGCAAAATGTTTCAGAAGGCCGTTCCAAAATTTTCAGAAATTGAATCTATTTGTCAGGCATCAAAAAATAACACGAGTCACTAGAAAATTAACATCACTGACTTGGAAGAAACAATTTAAATTTTCTGATAAATTATAAGCCATCAGCCTTAAGGAATAAAAGTGCAAAAATATATATACAAGGTTTAGCACTTTCTTCTGGTTTATATCTCATGAATGTCTTGATGTTAACAGCATGTTCCTCTCATGTTAAGCCCTTATCTAAAACTCTGCCACAAGAAGATTATTTCTTAGCTTTCGTTCTAAGTTCTTATGGAGGCCAAGAACCAATTGTCATGAAAAACAGAGTTTTCAGCAGAGCCTGAACCTGTGTTGACAGGTGTTGACGGAAAAGGTGATTACTGGCATAGCTGGTCTCCTGTCTCTCTACTGCTGTTTTCCAGTTCAGAAGCAGCTGCAAATACATCAGTATTACCTGTGCAAATGCTACACACACAGAAAATCGCATTTATTGGAATTATTTGCAGCACATACTGTTACTGTAAAGTTTGAGATCCCTTAGGCAGGTTACTTTGTTCACTCTCTTTTAGGTGATGCAAATTCTTCCTTAATAAAATGCTTCATGTTAATTTTAGAACTACTCCACGAAGAGCCTTTACCCACACTGACAGACAGATGCAGAGCAGCATTGGTCCAGGGCAGGAATGGATGGTGCACCTGCTGACTTCATGATGAATCCCAGATTCAGTGTGTGTTCACTTCTCTTGACCATTCCTGCAAGCAAACCAAGCTTAGAAGACCACAGAGTGTGACATCCAAACCACTGTGGCTACAAGTAAGTCACAGCTCTTGAAATGCTCCTTCAGCTGGGGTAAATTTTGAATTTTAATGAAAAGTTTCTTGAATATGACTGAATATGATTCATGTTAAATGACTGACTGTTAGCAGGGTTTGTGCAGCTCTGAAGGTAGTTTGGATCTTTGTTCTGTAACATCAAATATGGCCAGTAATGTTACAGCAAACAAATTAAGGGGTGAGCTAGAAACTTTTGAATGGGATTTAAGATCTATCAGATATCAATTAAGTGCCCTCTCACAAAGCTTACTGGAAGTGGAGGAAACTTTAAGAAGTATTCAAGTAATGGTGAGGAACAGACCCATCTTGAATTGCTCTTTCATCCACTCTAGCTTCTGTGCATATACGAAGCAACGGCAGTGAAGGATACGGTTCTTTGTTACTCCTGTTCAGATATAGCTTTCAGGATTGAAGTGACAATTTTTCCCATTGTACTAGGCTACCGTTTTCCCTACCAGGCCTTCTTTCTGTGCTCCTAGGGATAGTTTCTGAAGCTGAAGGTTGCATCCAGCTTTTTGAAAGTCCTCAATTTAAAAAAAAAATAAATAAAAAAATCTGCCAGAAATACCAGTGCTGCTACAGCAAGAATCCAGGTTCAAAGAGCGGAGGGAGATGCTACCATTTTAAAAACTGGAAGGAAAGCAATAAATCTATTTCTTCTGGCTTGCTGGAATTCAATGTTACTTACCAGCTAGTGGCCTCATGTTTTTTCCTCCTGTCTTCACAGTATCTTGGGTTTGATTATTCCTTCTGCATTCGTAACATACCATAGAAACAGTTCACCACTTTAGTTGAAACAACGGTACTTAATGTACTGCCTGAAATCCTCGTTTTCTGCAGATGTAAAGTTGTCTAATATTAGGTTGAGGGGCAATTATATCAAATTTTAACTACATCAGCTGAAATGTGCGAGAAACAAATGTATTATTTCTTTAAATCAGTGTTATCCTTGCACTGTGAGAGCTGCATAGTCTGTGAATTTTATCCTGTTTCAGTTAAAGGAGATTCTTCCCTTTGATTTTGAGAGTGGATGGGGCCCTGAATTTGAAACAGTGAATCAGTTTTGAAAAGATGCTATAAGGCTTTTGTTTGAATGAATGTATGTATGTTAAAAAGGCTGCTGTGTTCTCATGCAGCAATGAAATTACGCAGAACGTGGACCATGTAAAAAAGCTTATATTTCATTAATGAGTCTGTTAGTGTCAATGTAGCTTATTTTTGTAGTAAGCAAATAACTTTAATTTTCTTGTTTCAGGACCAGAGCAATGGAATGTCTCTGGTGTTCCAAAATGTGCATTTGATAAGGATTGTTTGGCTCACAGCAAAGACAGCCTACCAGGAATGCAAAAATCCACATTTTTGTCTTTTTCAGCCATGGGCGCTTGCTTTTATACGTGGCACAAGGAGACAGAAACTGCAATGATGATTTTTTTTTCTTCTGGTACTTTTTCCACTAAAGCATCATTAACTCTCTACAAATATATGGCTCATAATTCCAGTCATATGACTGAACATTGTATTTCCTGTATAACTCAATTAGTGTATTTATCCTTTCTAACTCTTGCTGGCACCTCAGTAGAAATGTGATGACACTGAGCATACCTGGCAGAGCAGAATCATCTGCCACTGCCAGGCAGGACTGCAGCATGAAAAGTCCCAGCAGAGAGAAGATGACTATTAACAGGAGGAAATTCTGGGTGTAATACCACTTGCGCATTGGTTTAGAAAAAGTTGATAAAAGGAGATGAATTTTCTTTTTCATGACGATTTTTTCATTTTTATCTGCATTCTCTTTTTCTTGTGAAGTTTACCTTGTAAATAGTGGGTATAAATTAATCCCTCTTGTTCAAGTGCATTCCTTAAAGGGCTCCACCCATTTTAATTCTGCACCAAAAATTCTGCACTGACACGTGCTGGAGATTTGCAGTGCTGAGTCTCTCAAGCAGAAAGCCAGCAGGTATCACCTCACCCTCAAAACCAAGGAAAGGTGAAGGGAACATGAGTGAGTTGCAAAGTAGCTAGGGAAGGAGGTTTAGGAGGACATGAGGAGTGAGGGACATGATTAGAGGGAAGCTCCGTTATTCCCGATTTATCAGTCTTGTAAGCAATGGTGCTAATATTACCTATTTAAAACATGCAAGGAAATAACAGGTAACAATAATACTGACAGCATCATCAAATGCTAACCAGAAGGTTAAATGAGCTTTGCAGGAGGAAGCAGTGTACATGAGGTTTTGAGAGCGCTGCCATGCCCAAAGCCGCCATGCACAGCTCTGCAGAGTGGGTATTTTACATCAGCGAACGATGGTAATTTTGACAGTCAGGCTACCACTGATTAGTGTCAGGTTTTTATTGCCTGACAGGCAAAAAAAAACCCCACATAACAGCACTGCTCCCCAGACTCTGAGAACATCACCTATTTAGCAGTGGCATCCTGAACTCCTTCTAACATTGTCATCAGCTTACATCTGTCATCGCTGTGAGTACACAGAGGGGACCAAGCCGGCAACTGTTCTGCCATTCCGCCTAGAATGCTGTGGGGTTTATTCACACCTTCTCATTTTAACCTTATTCAGGTTCCCAGACATTCATGGTTTTGCTTGCTTCCTTTATGAAGCAGATGATAGATAAAAAGTTTGGCAGTAACTGCCACAGCTAGCCTTGCCAAGTCACCAAAAGCTTGTCTCTTACATCTGGTTATGTTTCAAAGGTGGTGGTTTGTTTTTATTTTTTTTCTCTGAAGTGTCTTCCTAAATCAAATAACTGCTTTGGACTCCGCATTTAGTCTGTGTCATCTGTGCTAAAAATAGGGCATCTTTGGACATATTTCAAAATGTTTAAAGAGCATTGCAGTACAGTTTACAAAGGCCGCAAGCTCATTAGATCCACTACCTAAAATACAAAAAAAGCATTTGTTTACTAAATCTGGTTCTGCAGAAGATTTTCTAACATGCCGGGGTTTGCACTGCCTGTGACCTAAAAGCACTACAGTTAGTACATCATTGCATTCTTCCTTGCTAGAAGTCAGGGCCAAATTACAGGCCAGTTTGGAGTTCCCAAACTTAGACTCTAACAGAAGAAAGGATGAGTGGGAAGACAGTATCTTAAACACTCAGAAGGAGGAGTGAAAATTATATCATGGTATCCTTTTCACTGCTAGGGAGCTTCCACCATGTTGTTTATAGATATTTTCAATTACAACACCAGCTATCTCCATTCAGGTAAAATTCCCTACGGAGACTGATGGGATTTGATAGAAAAGAAATTAACCTAGAATTACAGGGTATAATGCTCGTAATCTGTCTTTTGGCATGGAGTTGAGCCGGCAAGTTAAGGGCAAGCCTTTGACCAGATGTCTATACTCTTCTCCAACTAGATCCTTACAGTAAGCCTCCAGCTTAGACAAAGTAAAGTATCAAGATGCTGCTGTACCGGAGCCATCACTATTTCATCAGCGTAGTGGATAATACACTCCTTACATGGCTCTGAAGACTCTGAAGGAGGAAAAGGAGTTTATGAGGACACAGAGGAGAGGATGTAATTCAGAAAATAAAAGAAAATATATACTGAGAAAGGAATGGATGCTATTTTATCAGGACACAGAGCAGGACGGATAAAGCAAATACAAAACCAGGAAAAATCTTGCCTTCTGAAAGAATAAGTAAAGAGATTTTTATTTTGCAATTGTTTCATATCTTTATTTAATTTCAAAGGCTCCAGTACTGATTGGTTCTTCAGGACTTCGTAAGCTGGTTAAAAAGATATGCATTTTGGTTTGGTACTACAGGAATAAAGTCCCATCATGTGAAATCTCTTAGTCGCAATGGCAATTTTTTTTCTCTCACCTTGTTTCCCAAGCCATCTTTGAGATGGTTATCACTAAATAACAGATAATAACCAGCTAAACGGACTGTTACCAACTTTTCCTTTCATCATTTGGTGAAAAATCTGCACAAACTACATACAACAGTGCCAGCAGAAGAAAATACCACTTGTTTCGCTGAGACAGACGCATACTGCTAAATATAGATTTTACAGAACTGTTGGTTTCTAAGTTCATAGGACTCATTCCCACCACTTCTCAGCGGCTCTTTCTCATCCCCCATGTCATTGTCTTTCATCTGTGCAAAATAGGCAGGAGAAGCTTTGCATTCATAGTGCCTGTCAAGAGATTTCAGGTGGATCAACATATGAAGAGCATAGGCAAGAACCAGCAGCAGAATCAGGGACATAACCAATCCCATAAGTATTGCTGGAGAGAAAAAGGATGCACAGTCTTTTGCATAGGCAAAATGTCCTTCTTGAATGTTAAACCCTTGAATCTACGAAGAGAACAAAAGGGGTCATATTAAATAAAGTATTTGCTGTCTTGGTTACAACCAACTTCATGAATTTGCTCCTGAAGCCTGTAAAAATTTTTAATTTAATATCTGCTTATTGCAAAATTGTATCTATCAGTGCTAGCTGGAGTTAATGCTCAGAGTTTATCTGGGTCAGTCTTCTAGAAAATGCCACTTATTCTAATCCCCTTCACTTTGCTGCCCAAAGGATTTGCAGTTATGTTTTAAACTAAATCTTCTATGATCACTCTTGATAGCCCATAACATTTAATTGTAAGCATGGTACCTGCCAAGTTAATAGTACATATCCAGCATCATTTGCTGAGAATCTCCGGAGTCTGTTTCAAACTGCATAAACTTCAACACGACAAACAAGGAAATATTCTCAATTGCTTACCCTAATATTAGATTTTTCTCACCAGATCCAAGTGTGCAGTATATGGCAGTAAAAACTACATGAAGTTGCATTCAACTATGGCCAATACCAGTAAGTCTTACTTGTGGCTTCAGTTCTAATGTGAAGTTTACTACATTGGTATTCAGGAAATTGACTGCTCCACTAAATCAGCCATGGGCATTGATCACATGGTGAGAAAAGGGGGATTAGCTTTCTTCCTCAATCCCTTTTCAGCTACTCATGCCCTACCACTTACGTATCTAAAAGCAAGACATCCTAGTCCAGTTATCTTAGGGTTCCTCATTGCCAAATGCAGAAAAATAGGCACTTTCAGAAGATGATTAATCTCATCCTAAAATAAGGACTTAAGATGAATCAGAGGAATTATCCACTGGCTTTAGAGGCAGGCTGGGGTGACTATAATCAGGGCACGAGGTTAAAATTACTAGGCATCAAAAGTTAAGTCCCATACTTGGTGACTGATGCTGTTATTGATGCTGGATTTTAAAGCCCAGCTCAGAGAGAGGTAACGCTGAAAGTTAAATTCACTCCCCACACTGAAGGGAAACTCAAGCAACAGATGACAGAAAATGTATAAAGCCCTTCATTTCCTTTCACAGGAAGATAAGTATAATAATTTAAGTCTTCGTTTCTGTTTCAAGTTCCATAGAGATCCTGCAAACTGGACATGGAAGCTCATTATACTTTCTTGACAGTGAAATGCAAAATTTCCCATCAGTCTACCTATGGGATCCATTTGGCTTAATTCCATGACATTACCTGGAAATCAGTAAAAGTGACTTCCCAAAGCTTTGAAAGATCATTTGCAGAGCTGGGTATGAGGAGTGCATCGTATCTCTGCAAGCTGCTGACATGTTCACAGTGGTAGGAGTAACTTGCCGGTGCATATATTCTGGTGGCATTAAACGTCGCTTGTATGGAGTGGTTGTAAAGAAGTTGCAGCCTGTGTAAACTGAACCAGTTCTGAACAGACAGCTGGTAATAACTGGTGGTTAATAAGAATCTGAAAATATTGTACAGGGAAAAAGATGATTAAGAAAGCAAGTCTAACTAAAAGCTGAAACTATTAAATTCATGTGTTGAACAATCTTAGAAGCAACACTGGTATTTCCAGAGTTTCATCCATTTATATCAGCGTGAGCCCTAGCTCCTTCTGTGGAGTCTGGAAAATGATTTGAGTTTCTTCACTGTTGCAGCTGAAGGAGTTTGCCGCTCTCTCACACAGTGAGAGGAAAGGTGAGGGATTTTTCCTAAATGACTGAGAAAAATAGATATGCAAAATTGGTATTGTACTTCCATCCAAGATATAAAATATTATTTATCAACGAATGCTGTTTTCTTCAATCACCAAGAAGCAAACATAAAGTAGGTCACAGTTTTTGCAGCAAAATTCCCAGACAAAAACGTAGCTAATTAGCAAGGTTTAGCAAAAATCTCAGACATGGGAAGATTCTATGCAAAAGAGATGGCCACAACTTTTCTCGTAAATAGAAAAGTCAACATAGAAGAAGAAATGCCTTTATAAAGCAAAGCAGGCAAATGAGAGACCTATTAAATGCGGGTGTCTTGATTATACAATCAACAGTTCTATCACATTATTTTTGCTTACACAAATTCATCTAAAACCAATTGCACAAGTAATTGCATAACAATGAATATTAACATGTGATTATCTAATATTTTCTTTATCATATAAACTTACCTAATAACAAGTCCCTTTAGATTGCCAATGTCACCAAACTTCAGAGAAAGCCTAGGTCAAAGAGCAAGCAATGTCAGGCTAGATAAAAACTTCAGAAATCTTAAGAGAAAAAAGCAGCACAAAAGATTAAGCACACATGGAGCCTTTTGCTCAGTATACCTTTGAAGCCAGTGGGAAAAAAACCTGAAAGGATTAAATCTTTCTCCAGTAGTTCAGCTGTTAATCTGAAGAAGACCTAGACTATCCATAAAAAACAGAATCGCATACTCAATTTTCAATGCAGCTCAATTCCACTGCTTCCAAAATTAGCTGACAATTACGTTCATTTGATCTGCGTTCTCCTTCTCAAGCCATGATATCTTAGTCACGAATCACCTCTGTATGTTGTTAGAAAATGTAAATAGCCACATTATTCTCATCTTCTTAGATACTATGGCATGACAAATGCAGATGACATTTGAGTTCAAATTCCACATTTGCATCATTACAGCAATATAAACACACTGACTGTGAGGTAGCTCTACAAAGCTTATGTGTGGTGAGCATGGGCACCTGAAGTTTACTAAAGTGAAAGGCCCTAGCAGGTTAACTGTAAACTAATGCATACTCTACCTTCTACCATCTCTGGAATTAATGCATTGTAGCACTGCATGCTTAAGTGGTATACGTTTTTGTGGCTTAACAGTCATATTTTGCCTCACTGTTGATGTAACATTTTCAGACTAAGCTAGAGACAAAACATAGTGAAACCACGCAGCATCTGAAAGGCTTCTGAACCTAAAGCTGAAGAAAATAAAAAACCAAAAAAACCAGCTAGCCCTGTGATTTCATACAAGATCTAATTCTTTTTGTACCTTGACTAATGGTGGTCCAATAAGCCAGGACACTGAATATAGACTAACCCTCACTTTATTACAAAGGGAAATCATAGACAGTTGAGGATTAGACACAGGTGAATACAGCTTTAAACTCAGTGGCCTAATCCAGAAGTTGATGCATAAAAAAACCCCCACAGATTGGATTATTATATTCATATAGCAAATACATATATGTTCAGTGCCAAATATTTTTTCCTAGCTCCAGCTACTTTACTTTGATTGGACAGTATAAAGCAACTCAAAAGCTGACCTAAAGCCACACAGAGTATCGTCTTAACAAAGAAGGCTGGAGAAGGAAGAAGTTTAAGGGATTTTTCTGGGGTGAAAAAAACTGCGCAATGCATCATGCAAGCACTCAGCCATCAACTGGCATAATTTAGGTCAGTCCTTAAACATAAGATTACAGAGCAACATTCAAGCCAGTTTTTCCCTTTCTTCTCTGCTGCAGTCAAATGCAGGTTGACTTAAAATCTAACCCAGGACTTGTATTTGGCAATTACACTGAGGCTAATCCTGACTCAGTGTTTCTCAGTGTATCCCAAATAAACAAACTACAGAACATGCAAGAAAGCAAAACCATTGGGAGGGGGTAGCATTTTCCTCTCTCTTCCCACAGAAAAGAGGAGAAAAGGCTCAGTAGTCATGGTTATGTGTCTTAACCCCAGCAAAAATATGCCAGCCTCAGCTTCAAACTAAGCATCAAGGTCCTGCTTGCTTTTAGCAGCTGTGTCCCTAGTTCAAGGCTACTCAGAAAACTATGGGAGAAACAGAGAGATCAGAAGACATGGTAGATGACATGGCTCTGGGCCCACAGATTTTGACATCAAACCTCAGATATGGTGAAACACTGATAAAAGGCATGTTGAGAGTATGCTGTAGAGTGATTCTTCTTCCTGACTCTTCCTGCAGCTTTTTTTAATGAATAATGCCATCTAAAAACCCCCAAATATCTTCCAACATAATGCATCAAGCAGAATATAGAGCCCTGTGGTGAGCTGACCCCAGCCAGCAGCAAAGACCCACTCTGCCCACTCACTCTAACCCCCACCCCACAGCAGGACAGAGGAGAGAATAGGAAGAGCAAAAGAGAGAGAACTCATGGGGCAAGATAGAGTTTACTAAGTGAAGTAAAGAAGGGGGGAAAAAAACACCAAAGTTTTGCCAGGGCAGTCACTGACCATCTCCCATGAGCAGACCAATGCCCAGCAAATCTGAGCAACACCATCCTGGAAGACGCAACCCCTACCCACTTCTTCTTCCTCTACCCCAGTTTTTACTGCTGAGCATGATGTTTCACAGCAGGGAATATTTTGTCCAAATTTGGTCAGCTCTCCAGGTCTTGTCTATTCCCAGCCTCTTACCAACCTCAACCTACTCGCTGAGGGACGCAGAGTGACAAACAGAGAAAGCCTGGACACTGTGCAAGCACTGGTCAGCAAAAGCCGAAACACCAATGTGTTAGCAACACCATTTTAGCCACAAACCCAAAACACAAGAGAATTATCTCCCTCCCAGCCAAAGTCAGGACAAGTCCCAATTTCTTAGAACTCTGTATTTACAGAATGAAGCATCCACTACAGCAACCAGACTACAGAGGTACCTGTGACAGGTAGGTACACCAAGCAGCCCGCTCAAATCTAACGGTCTCCAAACAGCAACTCCAATAGGAATTTGCAGTCCACCACGGCACCGTCTTTCTGGTTTTTCAAGCCTTATGAACAACTATAAAACTATACTTTGTATTTTGAAAGCCTTACTTTTGCATGAGTATCTTTTCTGTTAGGTTACAATCATTACTAATAAGACTAAGATTATCTCTGAATTGCAGACCACAACAGAAGGAATGTTTGTTACTATTTTTTATTTTTAGAATATTAATATTATGCCATTCTCCACCTCTGCCTTTCAAAACAGTGCTGCATTAGTTCACAGGCTGACAATGTAAAACGCAGACTGCCTTGTTGAATGCTATGACACTACATGCAGAAAACCTGGCTTCTTTTTCAATTATGCTTTTAGTTTTCTTGTAACCTCACTAAAATTTCTGTGCACCTTGGGTTATCCTTCACAGATGTATAATCAGAAAGAGATAATACTTACTTTCTGTGGAAACATCTTTAGATGTACAGGTGAAATGTTGTATAGGAGCTAAATGAAACTGCTGGGTTTGGTCGTGTTATTTTTATTCTTGCGTGTCACTACAGACTTAAACTCCATTTATGGGGTAGACTTGATGCTCATGTTCAGCACATGCCCAGTCAGGTATCCACCTCCTAATTTTTAGACTGTTGCCTACCAGAGTGGAATCTATGCCCTGGTATTAGACATGAAGCCAGCCAGCATACTGGAGAGAGAGAAGTGGTCAGGTACACTACAAAGTAAATCCGAAAACCTACATGCCTTTCTAGTGTGGCCATGGGATCAAAGGATTTTGGATCCAGTTAGGTTAATACATAGCTCTCACTCAGGTTTAGCAGGAGCAAACCGTTGTGCTGTTCATACTGAAGAAATTCATGACAGACTGGGATGCAGAGTTCAGGTTGTCAGAGACTCTTCAGGTCACATGCAAACCTGTAGAGAATTCACTCTTCAGCTTCAGCAACTCACAGATCACACTCTGGACTTGAGGCTATCTAACTCTGCTTCTAAATACATATCTGCATCTTGTACCAATGGTTCACATTACTGCTGGCACACATCCTATGACGCGATAAGTAGTCATGCACAGCCAGCCCCTAAGCCCCCATATTCAGCATAGGATCAACTATTCAATCTCCCAAGCAGCTATGTAAAACAGCTGGAGACTAAAGAGACCAACAGCTTCAGCCTCACAGGCACTAAGAGCAAAACTGGCTGGCCACCAGGAATGACTACACCACTGCAAGAGATGAAGACAGCTATGTACATCTATGCACTCCACAAAAGACTGGTCTGAAAGTATATAACCCATGCTGCCTGCAACATCAGGACCTTATAGGAAGGAGCTTGCCCTTGGGGCTCTACACCACAGAAGACAAGGTTTGTTTCCTTCAGTATGTATTGACTAGACTTGTTATCTGGTGCTAGTTCCATTGGCAGAGTAGAATGCCACCTTACATTGCACTGTCTTCACTGCAGTTTGAATCTCCAACGTCCACTGTTGCATGGACACCAAATGTCTTCTCTGTCAAATCCAGCTGTGTGTGGTTTTCAAACTTTATCATGATCCTCTTGGCCCAGAAGAGAATGCAGGGGATGCCATTAACTGTGACGTTGAGAGGGCTATAGTGGCTGTGGGTGAACGGCCTCCAGGATCCTCTTTCCCACTGTCCTTTCCTGCTCAAGTTGTAGCTGACAACCTGATTGACCACATAAAAGATCAGTATCAGATGTGTATTCCAGGAGTTACTCTCCATCCTACCAGAATAAATAAGGCCAGCACTTGGAGAGCATCTGTGGAGCCAGCTCTTAGCTTCCGCAGTACTGAACTGAGGAAACAGAGAGATCTCTGGCTAACCCCTTCCCACCATGGGAATGGCATCATACAGACCTCTAGCTCCAGCACAAGTCACCAGAGAGCCAATATAAGCTATATTTATTCTACTAGGGTAGTATAACTGGGGCAAATCACACTCTTAGCATGCTCCCATCTCACTCCAGTACACTGCAGAGCTGCCCAATATAAAAAATAGAAGCAAAGCTAGAATCACAAGGTGCTCACCCCAGCAGAAGACTCTCTAGGAAACTTGTAAGAATTATTTCAACAACAGGACTCAGCTTGGGCCAAGGACACAGTCTACTATGCTGAAAGCACACTAGGCAGCTGTCCGGGTGAAAGAAATGCCCAAGTGTACATCTACCTGGAGACAGCTTGGCTCCTGATGGCTTTAAAATCAGGGAAATGTCTGCTGCAGAACAGGATGGCTCAAGTATGGAACCCTGCCTTTACAAAATCAGTCATTCACTAGATTGAAACCTGGGGACCACAGCTTCCATGTCATCTATAGACATCAGAAAAACACCATCCCTTCTAAGCCAAATTTCATAGCAAAAGGAGGACAATTTGGCTGCCAGGCAATATAATTTGAGACAGTGAGTTAGGGCTCAGAAAGGACTTCAAAATTTAACTGTCATTTCTGTATTTCAAACTAAAATTTCCAGACATCAGCTTTATTCCATCTGCAAGTATGTCCTATCTGAATATAACATCTATAATGTCTGCATGGCTGCTTTGCATGTCATATGATTAAGCAAGTTCAAATCATGTACAAACAAGAGAGGTATTCTGAGTCCTAGTCATAAACAGCATCTTACCAGGCTCCAGAAGGTACACAGTTAAGCTCCAAAGCTTTGTCTTGGCTTAAAGAGAGATTTTTTTTTTTTGCTGTTCAGATTAGCGAATCATGTCTCCCAGCTCAGACCCTGAAGGACCCCTTTTGATACTTGACCTTACATATGGCACAAGACTGCTTTAGGATTAAAATTAGTAAGTACTCACAGCAACAAGCTGAAAGCAAGGTAAGATCATGGTCAGAAAACGTGATGCTAGTATGAAACATTGACTACAACTGTCATCTGTACAAATGATAAGGCTGTCTTCTCAGAAGTACAGGTGAGAGACATTTAATCAACAGATTATCTACATTAGATTGCACCACTTGCAGGGTTTTTGGTAAGGAAGCCTTTTATGCTTAGTTTTTGACAAGACCTACAGGCTGGACTCAGGAAAAACTTCCATTAAATGTAAACAATCTTCAGTTTTGCTTCAGCTATTCATTTTGTACCCAGTGATACAAGCAAAATACTGGCAACAGCAGTCAAATGGCATTGTACAGAATATGGATGATAGAATTTGGTTTGTTCAGTAAGACTCTGTGCCCAAACCCACTGCCAGTCAGCACGAGTGACAGCAACGGAAGTCTCACCTCACTTCTCAGAAAAGCAGAAGATATCTTGTACAGCAGGTAGGAATCAGTACCATATCACAATGATTTAGGCAGATTTGTTGGCTATTTCTTGTAAACAATGTATTATTTAATTCAATAATGCAAATTAAAAGATCTCAATGGTCTATGAAAAAACCTTACAGACCCAGTCCTTAAAACATTACCTGTGTAATTGCTACTTGATTTACGTTAAATTTTGGCTTCACACCACCATCATAAAGTCGACCTGCAGAAGAAAGTGTGTTATTAGCCTAGTAAGAAAACACCCAATCATTTATAAAAGCATAATCTTGCACATTCTTATGCACATAATAATTATCCCTGCATAAAATGTGTATTTCAGAATACCTGATTTTGTTTTGGAAAATATTTGGCTTGGTGTGAATATCGCCTTCAATACATCCTTTTTCTAGTTTACCTTACTCATACAACAAAGTTCCTCTTCTTTTCATTGAACATCTTGCCACCATTACTGGGAAGAATTCCAGTGCTCAAAAATGTCAGGATTCAGCCTATACATGTATTTATTCATCCCAAATACACTTTACAAAAGCTTCTTCTTTCTTCATACAACAAACTATTGTCAAAGGAGGTGTGTTGAATTGCAAGTCAAAAGCGTGTTAACTATGTCTGGGAATTTCTTTGCCTGCACTGGCCAGAGATGGGAAGCTGTGACAACCTGGTGGCCTGACTGTTTGCCAGGAGAGTGAAGTTTCACAGATGGCAGATCATTTCATGGACACTCTCACAGCTCCATCCTTCAAATACTTAACTCTGTTTTCATTTGATTTTTTTTTTTTTTGAAAAAAGAGTGAATACTTCTTTCTTCCACATTCTGACTATATCTCAGAGTCAGTAAATGATTATTTTAACCAGGAAAATCCTTTAAAGGGTATTTTTAAAGAGGAATATGCTTTAATAAAACACTTCACAGAAGAGTCACTAACGCCAATAGATGCAACATCTGGGAATGAAGATGTGTTACAGCTGTGCTAACAGAGCCAGTATCCAGGCATTCAGCCCACTGAAAAAAAAAAAAAAGCCATACCATTTCTTTGCAGAGAATCTTGATCTGAAAACACACGTGAACTAGAAGAGAGAAGAAAAAATATTTACTGTACAGCATTTGGATTTAAAGTCTGCAGCAAGTTTACTGGGGAGAGCACCTGTTCCTGCTTCATTCAATAAAACATTCAAAATGTGACTCACATCCTTGGCTAGTTAATGTCACAAAAACAGGGCAAATTAATCCCAAAGCCAGTGTACCCAGGAAGAAAATGCCTCATTTTCAGAGATCCCTCAGGTGGATCAGCCACATCAGGCATTCCCATATCCTTACCATATTGATTAAAGGCTTCATTACCCCTCTTGTCCCTTTCCATGGGACATCAGTTTTGGATTAGAGATTGAACCAGTTTCAGCCCACAAGCAAGGGAACACAAGGACAGTGCTGCACCATCCTCAGCCCCCAGTTCAGATCAGAAGCAACACAATTAACTCCTCCAGGATATAGCAAATGCACTGGGCTACCATGCCTTAAGCCCGGATTTACAGCCATCTAAAGACAGCTCCTGAACAGTTCCAAGCAATCCCAAATCCCATGGAAGTCAGCTGCAAGGTAGGGTGCAAGTGAAGCACATCTCAAGTGACAACTACCAGGCTCATGAAATTTGCAGCCCTTGATTTTCTTCTTGGGTATAATTTAGGGAAAAGTCTTCAGCTGGTATAAGTATGATCTGCTTTCCTGAACTCACTATTAAGCCCAGTAGATTCACGTACATCATCAAAAGACAAGATCAGACTCCAAGAAACCAGGCTCTCCCTTAGGACCAAACTCCACTCCTTGAGTCACAGGAACACCTTCCTGCCCCCTCCACACCACGGCAGCTTCCTTGGGACCTGCAGCCCTCTACAGAGGCTTGATCAACTGATCTGATGGCACATGTCCACTTCTGAAGTTCCCGAGTTCAGCGTTCCCGAGCAGGTGAGCACACCGGCCCTCCTGCACTCTCAGCTGAGCATCATCCCACAGTGCACACCCTGCCTGCACGGTGCCTTCCATGAGCGATGGTGTGCTGGAGCTGCCTCACAGCCACTTCATGAGGAAATACACTTCCATCTTCATTTCTTGCCTTATTTCTTGCTGTCTTTCAAACCCACCACAAAGACCAGCATATAAGGACTAGGAATAAAAGTAGTTTTCAGTATTTATGTGTAAATTGCTTGCTAGGGAGCCCTGAACAGCTGGGTGAACCCACTACCTGATGGACTCCCTGGGTAGGGGGATCTGTGTTACCCACTAGCACGTACCACAGGAATGATCCCAACCCAATTTCCATCACAGCATCCTTAATGGAAGATAAATATGAGTCTGAGCAACGTAACATCAACAAAGGAGAAACGTGGGATGGCTTAGAGCCTGACCTGCGTCCTGCCATGCCCTTGCCACCCCGGCAGTCAGGGAGTTTGATTACGCTGAACCTGGCTTGCCTGAACCCCATGGCAAAGTTACCAGCTTCAGCAAAGCCCAGATTTCACATGCAATGTTTTGTTTACGCTTGAGGTTGAGGAGGGCAGCAGGCTCTTTCTTCTGATCAGTGTCTCTCCAGCGAGAATGCCCTTTTGCAGGCATACTCTCTGCTGCCACAAATAGATCTCTTGTGTCCCCTTGCAAACTGTGCAAACCCAGAAGGCAAAACAGACAAAAGTGAACCAGAGTCTGTATTTCAGCTGGTTGTTTTGCTGCCAAACACCAGGTCTGTTGAGCAGCTTTGCTCCAGAGCATCGGGAAGGCTGCTCAGTCCCTTCAGCAACCAGGGCAATAAAGCAGAAGACAGTCTCCAGAGAAAACATCATAGAGCACAAAAAGACAGTGACGCTCTGCAGCACCGCCGCAGTGACTGTGATCTCAGCTGAAAGAACCTTTAAAAAGATCTTACATTCAAAAAAGTTCCATGTAGATAACACTGCTTAAAATCAATCTGGCAGTTTTATTTACATACAGTGCAATCAACTTGCTGCTCAGCTGTAGCTGTTAAATCCCAGCGACTTCAAGAAGGCTCTGCACTTTCAGAGTGGGTCCCGCTTGCTCCCACTGCCCTTTGGGTGCCAGGGTTAGTGCTGGGCTGAGGTCTCCAAATGGCTCGAAGGTCTCATGCCAACAGCCAGCAGCCTTCAGGGATGGGTGGAAATAGTCCTCATTTTGACAGATAGGTAACAAAAGACATGGCTAAAATGCACCAAATCTTGTTTTCTTGCTCAGGCAAAACTCTGTCTTAGGTTGTTTAATGATTTGGAACATGAGTTTTGTGATTTGACGCAGCCTTGTTTTCCTTTTCTAGTCTTCTTTCATGACAGATTGTGCCTTCAGGCTGGAAAAGGCAATTTTGGGGCATTTTTTCATGATAATAGCTACAAAAAATGAGGCACACCAAAAGGAAATCAATGTGAATTATTTAGTTAGCATAACTAAATCTAGTTTTAGTTAAACTTTGTTATAGTTTAGTTATACTTTAATTAATTATATTTAGTGACACTTATATATATATTTAGTTATGCTTAGTTATATTTTTAGCTCTTCCCTATATAAATAATTAAGAGCTTATAGCCCATTACTTGAGTTTGGAAATCACCATGCTGTAGCGTGCAGACTGGGATGAGAGGAGACTGGCGTAAAATTGCCCAAGTCATTTCCTTCCCTCACTGGACTTGAAAGGTTTTTATGTTGTTCTGGGAAAAGGAAGGGTTATTTTTGTTTTCATGATTGTCAATTAAAACAAAATAAATCATTACTTAGCTGGGATAAGGCTAATACCATGGTCATGCCAATTAAATCACCTTGAGGAATGCTAATTTACAGGCAACATCAAGCCTATCAAGAGCTCACAATGAATATACAAGGCATACCCATTGCAAACGGCCCTGCGGGTTACCTCCTGAGCAGGACGGCTATAACTGACCCCCACACAGCCCACGGGTGTGTGCTGGCAGCTCGTGACAACGCAGTTCGACTCCTCTACATCACATGTAAAACCACAGCAATGCGCAGCCATGCTGCTCCAGAAGAAATGTCGAGTTTCTGCTCTCAGCACGAAGGTACTCAAATATAGATGAATGTGCACAGCTAATGAAATATTCATGCTTTCATGAGGAATGCAGTGGAGTGACCCAGGAACCACCGCTAAGTACCCCAGTATGACAAATACCATCAGCCACATGGCAGGCACACTTGGGACGTTGGCGGAGGCATGCGAGTGAACTCCACCCAGGTACTCCTGTTCTTTACTCTTTGTTAGCAATGCTGGGTGCCGCCTTTCCTCCTGCACAATGCAAGCAGCCCCGTTAGAGAAAGGTGAGGGAAATCCATCATGGCAAGGCTTGCTGTCTTTGTTTTGTCTTACTATAGCCAGACCACTATGGCACCAGCAGTCTATCAGTGGCGTAAGGGAAGGATTGCCTCCCAGTTTCTGAGCAAGCACAAGCTGACGTTGATGTTATCGGGTCTGTCAGCTGCCTTTGACACTCGTAACCCTGAGGTGTGACAGAAGTGTGTGATCTGTGACAGGAATGAGTGGCCTTCAAAAGCCATGCTGCTGTCAAATCAGCAGCCTTTCCAATCAGAAGGCAAGCTGGAGAATTCACAGGCGATCTCTGGCAGCGAGGCCCTTTTGCCCTCAGTTAGAGTATGTTTCACATAACAAAAGCATTAAAAGAAAAAATGGGAAAATAACAACACATTAAAAAATATGCATTTCCTTTTGTATATAAAAATGTTAATTACATGTATTAGAGGAAACTAGCTAGCACTGAAGCCGCCTTCTCCACTGCTTGAAAAACTATCAACAAGCAGTGGCTAGACCTGCAAATCAGTGACAGCAAATCATTTTTAGTACACTGAATTAGAAATTAAGACTTTTAAACTTGTAATTTTTTCAGCCACTCCACCCTAAAACTTCAAATTCAGTTGCACACATGGCATATGTTTTGATGGCTAATATTCTTCCTTACCAAATCGTAAATAACTAGCCCAGACACACCTAGACAGGTGTGTTGAATTTACCATACCAAGTATGTCAGGAACCCACATGAAATTGGATTAGCCCTAATACAAAGCACCAGGATGACTAATCACTATGTAAAACCCAATTAAATAAGATTATAAGTATAAAGAAGTGTAAATTCCCTCTTATCAGATGACATTATCCATCTACATAAGATAACCAAGTCTGGCTTGTTCATCTGAAAAAGTTCATACAGACTCCAGCCCCTGAAGATTTGCACGTGAGGAGTTTTTGTCTACTTCAACAAGCCACACAATAAACCTGGCACTCGAGCGCGGAGGTCATAGACGGTTTTCACGCCATCAGGTTGAAGGAAGCCATATTCACACTGTCTTTTACTCTTCATGTTGCTGCTCTGACAAACTGCATCAGATGGCAAAATGTACTCTACTGCACTCTTTCGATTACTCCAGAATTATCACTCTAATACAATACTGTCCAGCTGCAAACTACCTCACTAGATGCTGAACTAGTTTCAATTAATTTATGAAGCATTTAATTGGAAAATAACATGTGAACCTTCAAATGAACTAAGAACAAAGTTATGATGAAAGGTGATGAGTGCTCATGGAGCATCTGGTAGCAATGAACTAGTTGTAGTCCTAGGGACATTGGTCATAAGTAATTTCAATGAAGTTATAAAAATTATAAATGTGTAAGCCTTGGAGCCTAGATTCAGGACAAAAGCTAGTTCCTTCTAAGAAAAATCTTAAAAAAAAAAAAGTTACTGGATTGGAAATGTATCTATTTTAAGTACTATCATTAGGAAAAATCTACAAAGCCTATGAGTCTTACAGTTTTTAAATTTTAAGTATTCTGTGTCATATTTTGGTAGCCTCGTGTAATTTAACAGAGGGAGACAGATGTACATTGTTATTTTACAATGTACTGAGTACTGGGGTTTGATCTGCATTTTAATGGATGTCCAATAAGAACTGGATCAGAACAACAAGGTACTAAAGCTTTCACTTTTAATATAAAAGAAGAAATTGAGCTCGTAGAACTCCTAGCAGATTAACAGTGTGCAGGCACGATCCCACTTCCACTGAACGCAAAAGCAAAATCCCCATTGAATTCACCGGCATCAAGATTGTAACTTCATTTCTTAGTATTTATTTGACTAAAGTTCATGTAATGCTCCACTGCTTGTTTTCTCCCAGATTTTGATGTGATTGCAAAGAATTGCAATTATACTAAGACGACACTAACAGATCTGAAAACTGGCAGAGGAGAACAGCAAGCAAGCTATTTAAATGAAAACATATTGTAGTATTTATTGGTAACTGACTACCAGATCCCTTAATACAAGCTTAAGCAAATCACCGCGTGTCCTTCTTGCCTTAAATGCACAGATTTTACTGCCAGCTGTGATCTTCATCAGCATATTTGATCTGTATGTTATTAGTGACTTTGGGGTATTATTCAACTAATACAGTTTAGGCTGTTTTCACTTTTGTAATGCTTGGCTCTAGAAAGTCCTCTCTTTGATTTGGGCTTCCTCTTTATATTTCATTAGAGAATGAAATAGCACTATAAACAATGATAAATCCAAATCTCTAGTAATTTCCTAAGTTTAACACTTCTTTGCAATATTGAATTCATGCTTCAAATATTCATTCTACACAAGCTGAATATTTTAGCACCTATGTTTCTTGGAGTAGTTTTCACATGCTTGCTGTTATTCTATTTATAACTTCGTTTTTACACAGACCAGGGAAAGTCAGTGTGAGAGTCATTAAAATGTAATGAAATATAAGACAGATGCTCAGAAAACACTCATTTTAAAAACATTTTCTTATCATTTATAAAATTGTTTTAAAGTTACATTTTTAATGCAGTGTAAGGCTTCAAAATAATTCCTTTCTGTAATAGCCCCAGGTGTTTTTACACCTGAAAAGAAAATTAAAATCACGTCCTGACATTCTAATCTGCTTCTGCACAGCACAAATGACCAAATTAGAACATTTAAAACATGCACTCAACTCCTCCAACAGTTTGCGGATACACACTCAATTACTGACCTGCCGTCCGCTGTTGCAATCATTTGCTCCACAGAGACTGCGAATCCCACATGCAGAAAAAGCAGCAGGAACCTAAGGGCAGCGTTTCCTTCCATTGAGAAGGAGCCAGTCCCTCCACACCCAGCACATCTGCTCCTCTGGACCAGCGGGCAGCCGGGCACCCGCGCTCTGCCTGGCAGCGTGACGGGCCGCGGATCCAGCCAATCGGGGCAGGTTTTCGCCACTCCATCACTGCACCGGTACCCACGGGAGAAATTCTTCGTGTGCCCAGATTTATTCTGACGGCGGACACCTACCGCTGGCATGTTCCACCTTCCTTGTGAATTAAACATTACACGTTCTGGGGAAATTGTACCAGGATGCAAGCTCTTTGCTAAGGAAAAAATAAAATCAGATGGTCTCTGCAAGGCTCTAAAATCACACTGAAGAACACTTCTTGCCTGCACTCAACCCTAACCTTAAAGAAAGCTGAAGTGCTGATTCCAAACAGCACTAAAATTTCTCCTTTCATATGATAACCAGAAAAAGAATGACATGTAATTCAAAGTCTTATAATACCTTCAGAGAAGTATTATCCCCGTTTTACAGATGTGAAAGCAGACATAGGAAGCTTAGAAGTCAAATAATTGGAAGTGGTTGCCTTTCTTCAGCAGTAATTCTGTTAGTGTGTGTCCAGCTTTCTGGCTCAATTGTTTTTATACTTACAGATAAGTCTAAGCCAGACCACAGTTGTTAAATGCCCACAGAATTACAGCACCTCTGTTTCTGGACTGTCAGACCGAGACACCAAGGTGCATACACCTCACTGTGAATACGGCAGGGTGGTTCTGGGGCCGGTCATTCTCAAAAGATACATGGGTCGCAGGCAGTAGTACCTCTTCTGCTGACCCTCTGTCCTCATCAGTCTTCTCAAAATATACATTAGTTGTGCTCATGATGGCAAAGAAAAGAAGAGCAAGACACATCAGCTGGCTTCTCAAACCCTATCACCCACATGCATTCTCCACACATAGCTCACTAACTGCAGCTTGCATTCAAAGGAATGACCACACAGGACCAGGAAAGCTGAAATCAGGATACTCACTGGTGCAATGACAGTGCTCTGCAGCGTGCTCACCTGCAGTCTGACCACCCTCATGAACACAGCCACAGATCTGTGACCAGCCTGGAGGGCACTCTGGGGCCCAGGCAGAAATGGGTTCCTGGTACCCACCTTCATACTCTCAAAAGGAAGCTCGGACCAGCACTTAGCTGGCATTTCATCACATGGTGCCCTTCTCCACGTAAATATCAGACAGGACATAGTCACAACCTGCTCCTCCTAACAGCTACGTGTATTCATGTATGTATATACCTATCTATGTACACACATACCCCGCACACCCACTGCTTTCTTGTTCGGCAGCTACCTGCTGTAGGGCAGCTACAAGCCCTACCTCACTGATGAAGAGCTCCTGTCTATGGCATTACAGATATAAGATAAAATAGAGCCTTTAGCATTGTAACTGTTAAAAAGGATTTACCATCTTAATTAATTTCTCCTTCAGTGATACAGAGTATTTGATAATCTTAAAAGACTCTCAACAGCTTGTCCTCAGTAGTACTGCTTCTATCCAATTTAAGGAGGAATTCAGATACTTAGGTGAGAATCCCAGCTTGAGAAATGAGATAAGGCAGCGTGGTGATAAACAAGGAACAGTTGAAAATCATCTCTAAATTTTCTGTGAAGCACCAAAAATGGATGATGCTAAACTTAGAATAATTACACCAGTACAGAGAGATGGCTCAGCTGAAAACTTTAAGCAGCCCTGGGAAGAGGCAGAAGTCTTCCAGGCTCTTCCAAAAACTGTGATGCCACTGATGTCACTGGCCTGTTAAACATTTCAGTACTCCTGACCCATAGTATCTCCTACATCAGTGCGGAGAAAAAAGCACAGAGCAGCTTTCTGATGGTGCCGTGCAATTTCATTCATGTGCCCATATTTTCTAAATGTTGTCAGCATGGGAGCAAAAGCTAAAAATAAAAATGCTGAAATACAAACCAGTATGGCATAAACAAACAAATAACGTGTCCTGTGAGGGCCAAGAAAGTGAGAGAAAGTAGTGTAAACACCACATAGCAGGCCACAGCTAAAGTCTGTACAGGCTGAATCCAAGATAATGTGCTGTAGTCCATTCTGTAACAACAGAATGTATCTTTAATTGTATTTCCAGCCTGTGCGTCTCCATGGTGTTACCAATTTCTAGAGGGAACCTGCCTTCTTAGACCACCATTTCACATAGTCAGAGGGGAAAAGTATATCTCAATTTGCTCAAAACAAATGGGGTTTTGCTGACAACCAAGAAAAGATGTAACACCAAACTGCTAACGCAGGTTAAACCAGTATAAATCAGTGAGAATATACTGACTTCTTCACTATACATTAATACTATGGGTGCTGATAGTAATTCACTAATCAGCAGTCATCATCTGAAATAATGGTAGAAGCAAAGAGCATGAAAAGTCTTTCCTTACCTCTTGACACAATAATAATAATAGTAGTAATAGTAGTAATAATTATAATAATAATTTGATAGTTCTTAAAAATATTTTTAATGAGGTTCAATCATAAACAGACTCACGTGGTACCTGAAAAGAAATGAGACCCACTGAAAGCAAAGAAGTCATCCTAAGCATTTACTTCATTCTGGTGAAGAACGATAACAGAACCACCATCTCTGCATTACTGAGTTTAAAAAGAAAACTTGAATGGACCCTTACATGCAGTAGTCCTGACAAGGACATGATTAGATGAGCTCTTATGATTCAGCTGACAAATCACTGTTGTACATTTGCCTGTTTTATGTTTATGTTTTTATGTTGCTGCAATGGTTATACACACACTGAGTTTGCATGCAACGAATGAGACTGCAGACATAATTTTAAACATGGGTAATTTATCTTGTTGGCTAACATCTCCTCCAGCAGACAATGGCACAATTTAATTTCAACACAGTTTATAGTTACCTTCACATGATATATTAGGTCACCATGAACTGAGCAGCTCTCTAAAATAACGTGTCAAGCAAAGCATGAGGTATCAGCCACTGTACAAAGTTCTAGCACTTAATATATCATTACTATTTTTTTTTTTTTAGAGACACGTGTTGTTCCTCCAATTCAGATGTATTCACAATGCACTGACAATGCAACAGAAGCATGGACAGAAAATTGGCCTTAATATAAAGGAAAAGCTTGTTTCAGTTCCAACAAAAACCTCTCTCTGGACAACTACTTTGCCCACAGGCATTCAGCCTTCATCTCCACCACGCAGGCTGGGATGATGCAAAAATTAATCCTGTTCCGATTCTTTACTGCCTGCCTTCTACTCCTCGCACCCTTCCTAACTACCCCAAAGGATGCCATCCTCTCCTGATAAATCTCCATAGAGACCTCGGGCCCTACAGCAGCTGATCTGGACGGAGACTGGATCAGGAATGAACCTTCTGATTCTTGGTCTACCAGGGAGGGGTGGGGCTGGGGGGGAACCACACAAAAAAACCCCACAAAAAAGCTCAGTCTGCGTTACAAGGTAGACGAACCACTGTGGAAGGAGGTCCCTACACTTGTGTATCTCCACTCCCCTGGAGAATGTAACCGTGGCAGCCATACAGTCCTGTTTTACACCGAGCAGTGCTTCGTAAAGCCCTTGCCGCTCCAGCGACAGCAGGCCACGGGCTCCGAGGTACCGCACCAGGCAGCCCCCGCTTGCAGAAAGAACAGGCCAAACCTCCGGGGGGGTCCAAGCGGGCCCCAAA